TGGTGCTCGGTTGAGTAAGGTACGCGGTGCCCGTCACGGCCCATCGGCTTAGGTCGTGACAGAAGTGGTATCAGAGCTGTTCTATCCTAGGGAGTCTACAAGCCGTGTCTAGTAGAGTCTTGTTTATGGGTGTGTCGTACACCACACTTATAAGTAGGAGGCTACAGGGCATTTAGGACTGTCACTCTTTCTTCTTACTCTAGATCGTGTGGTAGAGCTCAGTTAGAAGAATTCAAATTCCAAACTTCTATTTTATTCGTAATAAGACGATGCCTACGTTCAGAAAGATGATCGATAAGAGATATAGCTGTGGAAGTGTTGAATTAGAGGAACTCGATTTTGCATCTTGCTTATTATGAGTAAATGCAAGGTCTTAAGTAGATCATGCATGTACTAAAAGGTACACAGTTCTTGATAAGGAGCTTTTAGGAAAGAATACTTATCCACTCTTACGGTAAAAAGAAATAACGGAATCGGAAGTGAGACACAAGTTGCAGCAAGTAAAAGAAGCAAGGTGAAGAAGGGTACAAGGTACACAATTAATAAAGATTATCATTATTTACCATTCAGGAAGGGAGATATAAGCATTTTGAATTACCTTCAACAGTAATAGATGTACGTACAATCGGCCACACCTATCTCAATCATGCCCTTTGGGAGCTAACAAATATGTTTTAAGAAAATGACAGGTTATCAGGATCCGGCTGGGTTTAGAGTAACCCAAAATGAAGAATGGATGATTTGCGTTAGTTGAAATTTCCGAAGGATATTACAAAGGTGCTAATAGATCTCCTTATGAGACACCTAGGTGGTGCACTCTAGAATATTCCAATAAGATGAGAATACTAGCGTGATAAAAAAAATTCCGAAGATAGGCACTGAAAGACTAGAAGGGATAAATATTACGTTAGTATGGCTCACGTCCCTAGTAGAGCGAGAACATTAAACAACCCAAAGAGCCATTGGATGGATCAAAAGGGAGCTAACAGAAAAAATATGTCTTGTTCGAGTTTTCACAATAAAGTTATATGCATAAATATTAGCGGGAAATAAGAAAAGAGTTAATGAAGCATTATGAGTAAGATATGATACGTGGATGACAACGGTAGATCAAAATATGACAAGTAGTACAGAATCTATAGTTAAATGAAGAAAGAGACGAGGGCTGATGGGCCTTAAGACAAAAAAAGGATGTAGGCCATACAGTCACATCCTCATTTTGAGAAATAAGTTCGCGACTCTAACGCGATTAACAGAAGAGAGAATTAGACCCTAGAGTAATGGAAATCAATATGGACTGGTGAACATGATAAACTAAACATGAATTAGGAACTGAGTGATTTGATAATAGTCAGCATCATGAGAATTTCAAATTGTGTTTCGGCAGTAACAGAATGGACAACAGAAGAAGATCCATGACGAATTCAGAGGATGGTCATTCAGGAAAACGCTTTCCTAAAGTAAGCAATGTGAGCAAAGTTAAGCTTAAGGGACTTTATGTGCCAGTTACACTAAGTGCCACCATTGCGAGTGAGGAATTTTGTTATCCTTGGTACATAAGGATTGTCGCAAGGTGAGTAAGGGTCATTGATGATGCGAAAGGACACCAAATATGGAGAGGAAAACATCTATAGGCAGGTCGTCGTAGCTCCAAATCTTAGTATTCGCCTAAAGGGGAGGAATATGGAATGACAAAGGAAGAATGCGATAAAAATAAGAAAGGAATGAGATTGCACTTATCTGAATCCTACAGATATGCTATGATTCCATAACGTTATGCAAGCACGACGTTAGAAAAAGGAAGTAAAGGTTCCTGCCCAGAAGGCTATTGATGAATAAGGAGCTAGTGCAAGAGGTAAGTTAGCCAAAGGAAATAACCCAAGAGAGATTACGCGGAATATGGATATGAGAATGGGTTAACGAGTAGTTAGTAGTTGATTCAGGAATAGCCTAATCATGGCTAGACAAGAAGTTACAGATAAATCAGCAGATCATGCAAGATAAACATAGTGAACCCCAACATGGGAATTGAGTCTCGCAGATATGACATTGTGATCCTTGAGAAATATTCAGATAGGAGTTGGGATAGTAAAAGGTACTATATGAGTATTACGAAAATAAAAGAGAATGTCACTGGGAAGACAGTCGAAATATCAGTTCAGAAGAAACCCTACAAGCACAAGGGCATGGAGGTAAGTAACTACGGATAATTAGAGGCGAGGAAGAACGTCAAAAATTCTATCGGGTATACGATGTAATAAGCTCACATCTTTACAAGAGTCAGAGGGTCCTCCCTAAGTACTACAACAAAAGACTAGCCGAGGAAATAAGGAAACACACTTCAACCTAAGCACAATGACCTAAGGAGGAAATGGTCGTGTAACCACAGTCTCACAACAATATTGTGAGCAATCCAAAGGAATAGGCTAATGAATGGAAGCAAAACTAAAAGTAATATTCGAGATCATATGAGTTGCGTGAAAACTCTGGCATGTGTGGGCAATAAGATAAGCTAAGTATGGACGCAAGTAGAAAGACCAGGAAATCTTACGTTGAAAGAAAGCTAAGATGGAACAAAAGAAATTATTCGATCAATGATCCAGAGTTGGTTACGTTATGAACACACTTAAGGGTTCAGAGTTTTATACACAAAGTATATACAACCGTAGAAGATTCTGGTATATGTTAAAAGAAAGAATTGAGCCCAAGTCATAAACGAAGTATTAAATTGATTGTATCATGCATATTCCTCAGCGCCCATGAAAGGCTAAACAAAATAACTAATACCACGAACCTCAGATCTGGAGATAATTTAAGCCAACATAAAGGCCGATCAGGAGAATGAGGAAACTAAAGAGTTACGTTAACGAAGTAAATCTGGAATCCGATATTGGACCCAGAAGTTATAGGAATCATGATTGAGAACATAGCAGAATCACTCATGATATTAGAGGTGCAAGAGAGATAGCACAACAACCATATTCTATAACGGCTCTACGATAAATCCAGTTAGAATAGGTACCAGCCTCATAAGAAGTCAGTATGAAGCTCCCACCAAATTGTGTATGCCCCAGAGGTGTAAGTATTATGATAGAACTTCAAGTTGTGAATGTGACTCATACCTATGTGGAAGGGAGGCCATGAAAGATATAAAAGATACGATGCAAGATTTTAAGGTAAGAAGGGCAAAGGTAAACAACGTACGGGATACTTAAATGCAGAAGGTTGTGAATAGTCCATACTGAAGATAAAAGGCTAGAAGCACGGGGATCTAGTATCCAAGAATGATAGCAACATCGTTAGTGGCATACCTTCCAGCCTATGGATTCTTAGTACCGAAAGGTCTAATTAGAGAGTAAAAGAAGAGTTAGAGATGATGTGATGTCTCGCTTAATATTCCAGAATAACCAAGGAAATCTATAGTGCAAGCAAGTTGAGGGAAGGTTGCGAACAAGTATGAATAGATATATGTAGGTCGCAAGCTAAAGTATGGTAGAGCGACATGGTTATTGGAATACAAGAGTAAGGATAAGAAAAAGTGAGTGAAAAGGTGACAAGAATGGATAAGTCCTTGGGATTAAGCTCATGAAAATAAGAGAGATAATGGATTCTCTAAGTTATAGGAGGCTCAGTATAGCCAGAATGAATTCAAAGGAGTCTAAGACTAGTAGCATTTAGAAGGGATGGAATGCTGCCTTGGTAGTGGAATAAAGGCGTAATTGTGATAGATAAAGGATGGCGTTTGGGCCTTCAATTGAGTAATGACTTGAAGAGTATTGCATGAATTGTAAGGGGCTAAAATACCCATATAAGGTGAGCCACATTGGGATGCCATAAAGTACGGTTATGGAAATATAGTATCACCCCCTAGGTGGATTAATCTAATTACTTCGGATGTCCCCGATGAGACACGAGCCCTAGCGGTGGTGTTACATAAGAGATCAAGTTATCGTTTTTAGATGATGGATCAACCTTAAGGTAAATCAACAATTGATGGATAAAAGTTCAACAGTATAAGATGAGATTAGACCATCAGTCTTAAGGATAAGCAACGAGAGTAACCTGAAGTTGGTTGTAGACCTCAGTAATGATAAATCGAAGTAAGGATTATGGTATAGTATGACCTATGTAGATGCCGTAAAGTCATACGAATGGAACCAAGTCTATGAAATAAGATATAGCCATATTCGTAAGTTCTATAAAGTACCGAGCGAAGAACTTCAGTACACCTATAAATGCCAGAGAGGCATCCTATTCAGTCTTGTATATGTTTACAAAGTAAGTCCTAGAGATTGGCTAAAAGCTGGAGGATAGAGGAGAGAAGAGTTGCATAGGCACAATGACAAGGTCAGTATCATAGAGGCTGCATGGTAAGAGGTAGCAACAGTTATGATATTGGAAGGAATTCGATCACAAGTCATGGCGTGGGAAAGAGGCCTAAAAGGAGGAATGCCCTGGCCTTTGGATTTATTCACAGAACTGTAGACATGTAATTTTTTGACCCTCCCCAAGATTTTACACATTTTAGCGTAAAATATTTAGTTTAGGCTAATATAGTTAGTTTAACTAGTTTTGCCCCTTTTACTTAATTTTATCATAAAAATAAAAATTACAAAAAAAAATTCTTTTATTTAGGTAATTGATATTTTATCTTGTTACTTTCAATTTATTTACCTTTCATAAAATTTAAAAATACAAAAAATAGTTTCATTTGTTACCTCAATGTGTAATTTTAATATTTTTGCATTATAATGAATTAGTAATAGTTGTATTTTAATTTGTTCTTTAGAAAAGAAGAAAAAACCAAATTAATTTTAAGATGGACATGGTCTTGATTTTAAAATCAAAAGAAGGTCCAAGAGAGGGCCATTCTTAGACAAAAGTTGGCCCAAGAATTTGGCCAAGCCCAATTTCTTTCTTCTCCAACCCATAAGCCCATACCCACTAACCTAAAGACCCCTTCATCTCCACATTAAAATTTAAAACCTAGAAATCCCTACTTGGAGGCCAGCCGCAGAACTAAAAGAAGACCCCCCCTGGAGATCGTCTTCTTCGAACCCCCTGCCCCTAGCGTTGCTTCTTCTTCCTCTACACGCCCTAACCTTCAGGTCCTTCATAACACACAGACCATGAAGCTTCAGCCGTTTTCCATGGATGGAAGCTAGGCTTCTTCATCTTCCAAAAACAAAAACACCAACAGACCCCAAACTCTCTTCACCATTCACTTGCAGCCGCTAGGAACCCTAGGAGACCCCTCACAGAGACCTGAAGCATAGCTTTCACCCTCATAAGGAACGACCCCTCATTTTCTTCTTCAACCAAAAGAAGACTTGAACCCTAAGCCACTAACCTCCAGAACCACGACAACCCTGAACTTCTTCATCTTCAACACACACGGCACACAACCTAGATACCCTAAACACCATAAGAGAGAACTTAACACAGACAGTAGCTGGACGTCTTCTTCAAGAGAGAGCCGCAGGAGACCCATCGTCTCTTTGCTTGGAAGAAAACAGAAAGCTGCCTCTTTCTCTTTAATCGCTTACTCTTCGAATCTCCTCTCTATTGTCTTCCTTCACCTCCAATCAACTCCTTAGGTCACAGAAAAATGGCGGAGCAGGAGTCGTTTGCTTTCCATGCTGAGATCAACCAACTGTAGAGTCTTATCATCAACACTTTCTATATTAACAAAGAAATCTTTCTCCGTGAACTCTTCAGTAACCCTTACGATGTGCTAGACGAGATCCTCTTTGATAGTTTGATTGACAAGACTCCGAGAACGAGCTGAAAAACAACATCGACAAAAGTGGAGTTCGAAATTTCCTTTGAGGGCTCCAGTTGCCGGCTTTTACTTGTATTTCCAAACAGAGATCGGTAAAGACCGTTGAAGGTTCATCTCTTCTTTCTCCTTAATGTTAGTGTTTTAATTATTTGTGAAGATTTTCTTTATACATTCATGGACCATATCATGTTTGCTTTACTTTTTCTTGTTATTTGGGTTTGATTATTCTTGTGTGCTATGATTCCATAATTTGATATCTAATTGTATTGTGGTGATATTACTGGACTGATCATGTAGTTAGTTTGGTTTGAATTATTATTTGTTATCATTATTATAATTTAAAAAAAGAGAAAGAATAAAGAAAAAGAATGAGTTATTCGAAATGTCATGGAGATTTGATCGTGAAAAATGTGATGTGTGCTATTGGGCGTTAATTGAAATGTTAGTGATTCAAAATAGTATTGGGGTCTTGGTATTTGGACTTGATAATTCCAAAGACTTTGAGCTACTAGATAAACATGAATGTTGGACTTAGAAGACATGTAGCTTGTTTTATTGGTGCTTATCGTTTTGCTTGTCGCTTCATTTCACTGTGTTTAAAACCATTAGGAGCATGTTTTGACCCACCATACTTGCTTAGGTGAACCTCTAGGCACGCTTTGAATTTATTATTATGATTATGTACATGTTTGCATGACATAATTACGATTTCTAAAAATGAACATTCGTAGCTTGCTTTAGGCGCGTTTTGAATCTATCATCGTGATTGTGTACACATTCGCGTGACATAATTATGATTTTACAAAAAAAATTGAGGTATGTGTTCGTGCAACGTCGGCTAAAATTTCTTAATAATAACAAAGCGTCATTAATTGTGGATACGTTCACGTGACATGATTTCTGACGCGTCAAACAAATGGGTACACGTGCGCGTGACCTGTTTTAAGATAATTTCTTAATTAAAAAAGGCAAATACACATAGGTTCTAAAATGAGTAATTATACAATTTGATTAAGCCAAGTATGATCAAAGCGACCGTGCTAAAACCACGGAACCCGGAAATGTCTAACACCTTCTCTCGGGTTAACAGAATTTCTTACTCGGATTTCTGTGTTCGCAGACCATAAATAAGAGTCAACTTCCTCGATTCAGGATTTTAGACCGGTGACTTGGGACACCATAAATTATTCCAAGTGGCGACTCTAACTTTTATATAAATAATCTCGTTTTGATTGTCACTTAAATTGAAAAAACTCCCTTATACCCTTTCGGGGTAGAAAAAAGGAGGTGTGATAGCTCTGGCGACTCTGCTGGGGAAAAGAACCCATAACTTCTGGTTCAGGGTTCAAAAATTTGAGCTTGTTAATATGATCTATGCTTGGATTTATTGTTTGTTGATATTACTGTATTTGTGGACCTAATGTGCTAATTGGCGCTTATTTACTGTTTTGATATTATTTGAATTGTATTAAACTGTCTTTTTACGCTTCCCTTCTAAGTCTTCTAAAATATGGTGCACACGTATGTATGACTCACTTTTTTGTTAGAATTCATACCAAATAGAACGAGCCTGGGTCAGTAACTAGGATGGGTAGACTTTCGTGCTCCCGGTACGTTGCCCCCACCTCAGCTCGAGTTGTCCGCTCAGGTAAGCCAGGTCTAAAACACAACCCCAAGTTTAAACTTAGAATAACATAACCTCATACCAGATCCCTAGTAGGAACATTTCTTACATCATGTGCATTAGACTTAGGGGACTCAACACAGGGGTTGGGTCCGTCTAGGGCAGGTGTACCCAAAAATAAAAGACATTCCTAATGCATCCTATGTGCTACATGTTGCATTTTTTCAAGGGTAAAAGAGTCATTTGGAGAACTAATAATGGCTGAGGGTAAATGAGAAAGGAAAGAGGGTGAAGTGTGATAATAAATCAAGTAGGTCCCAGTTATGTTTTTCTTTCACATTTTTTTAAGAAAAAGACCAAAAAAATATGAAAAATCCATAAAGATTTTGCACTTTCCCATCATTTTCCAAAAATCAAAAAATCACAAATAAAAGGAAAAAAAATATAAAAAGAGTTTACATGTTTCATCCTTTTTCAAAAAAGACAAAATATATTTTTCTCTAAATTAGTTATTTTTCTTAATTCTCGCCCGTATCCAATCGTCCTGAACTACGCATACCAGATTCTCGTCTTTTGGGGCGTGATATGTAGGCAACCCACATAGAGTCCGATCTTCCTGGTGAGTCTTAGGTTCTTGGCTTCGCGGGGTCTTAGCCAAATCTTGCATGTCTAGCCACTTTTGGCCACATCGGTCATTTTGCAAAATATAGCTATTTTCGCAAAGTGATTTGTTTAATTGTGTCTGGAGAGTCTTCAATCCACAATTAGGTGTCTTTTTACTTTAAGGCCCATCCTTGTCAAATTTACGTGTCTAGCCGCTTTTGGCCACATCAGCCATTGTTGCAAATGGGGTCATTTTTGCAAAAGTGGTTCAGTGACCCATGTTTTAGAGTTCTAAGTCCACAATAAGATGTTCTCTCTGTTTAAGATCTATTGTGTTAAATTTGCATGCTTAGCCATTTTGTCCACAGATCATTTCTATAAAATGGGTCATTTCTGCAAAGTAATTTTTCCATGCCTTAGAGGTCACTTTTGTCGAGTTTGCACTCCTAGCCACCTTTTGGCCACATCAGCCATTTTGCAAAAATAACCTCAATCATGTCTTGTATGTATCTAATAGGGAGTGTTATTCTCTCATATAGTGTTCTAAGTCTTTAACTCTATTTGGTTTGAGTTTTTCATACAGGTGTGAATTTACTTACCGGAGATTGAGTATGACAGATACCCCGGGACCATCCAGTCAGGACAGTTGCATCCAGGAGTTGCTTAAGGAGATTTTTTTATGTTTTGAGTCTGTTTATTTTTATGTGTTATCCTGTAATTTATAGTCATGTTCAGTAGTACTGATTCTTTTAGTTGGTGTCAGAGTTTGTTGTAGTGTAGTTGAGTTTGTCAAGTCTTCCGTTATTGTATTTCCTGTTTTATTTTTGAAAATAAAAAAGAGTTGTAAATGAAAAATCCAAAAAAAAGGATTTTTATTTTTTGTTTAATTTATCCATTACTTTTCCCGAACTACGCAAAGATTTGATTCATGTGGCATCATGATACATAGGCAACCTATATAGGGTTTGATCGAATCATTTTTTAAAATTCAAAAAAAAAAGAAAAAAAGAAAAAAAAGAGATGAAATTATGGGATGTGAGAAACGAAAGGAAAGAAAAGAGTGATAATTAGAAGAATAAAAAGAGGAAGGAAAATGAGCAAGCCAAGAAGTGTTAGAAAAGAAAGAAAACAGAAGATTGAAATGAACAAAATTGGGATGATGCCAAGTGACCTTGTGACCCTCGAAGTCATTCTAGAACCGTTAATTGTTGCTAGGTGCATTGCACGCAATATGATATTTTTAGCTGTTAAATGCCCTAATGCTAACAGGATGACCCCATTTTGTTCCTTTTGTTATCTTCATTGAGCAAAAGGGTGGTTGGTTTGTGGTTCTTAAGTAACTCATCCATACAACACAAGGTCAAACGGCAAGGTAGCCATGGCTAGCAAAGACTTGGACACGAGTGTTATTGATCCGTCTAAGGTTATTGTTGAGTCAGAATCTGAGTTGAAGGAAGAGGTCTTAAGGTTGAAAGGACAGATGGCCAAAATATACCAAGCCTGGATTAGTGGGCGTCCTACACCATTGTTTCCCATTAACTACGCTGAAAACCTTGTCACCATTATGCCACTGTCACAAATCCAGATTCCCAGTGCTGCTGATATCTCCCCACAACCTTTTCACACTCAACCCGCCAAAACTGCCTCATATCCCGTTTCTTTGACCACTCATGTTTTGGTACCTCCTCCACCAGCTATTTTTCCTCGATCCTGTAGCGAGGCTGTGTTTAAAATCCCCGATGCCCAACACTGTGCTCTAGAACAAACTTTCAAGGTCTTAGTTCCATACTCTCACGCTCCTCATTTTGAGCCTCCCAATGAAACTAAAAAGCGTGCTAAGACAGTGGAGCAAGATAAGATATCCAGGAAGGTGAAAATCTTATAGCAGTTTTTAAGAAACATGCAAGGGACAGAGAGCCAGATGAGCGTGTCTTACAAAGACTTGTGCTTGTTTCCTAACATCTAACTGCCAATTAGGTTTAAGATGCCAAAGTTTGATTTGTATGACGGACGTGGAGATCCCATGGCCCATCTGAGGGGTTATTGCAGTGAAATGAGAGGTGTTGGCGGGAAAAATGAGCTGTTGATGGTGCATTTCAGTTAGAGCCTGACTGAGGCAGCCTTGGAATGGCATACTCGTCAAAATGTCAGTAAGTGACATACATGGGTGACATGGCTCAAGATTTTGTTCGGCACTATCAACACAATGAAGACATTATCCCATACCGCTCCTCCCTATCTCAGATAGAAAATAAACCCAAAGAATGTTTTAGGGAGTTTTGGTTCAGATGGAATGAACAAGTTGCTTGGGTCAGTCCTTCGATTGATAGGAAAGATGTTGCTTAGCCCCGCCAACGACAAGATCCAGTGGGCATTCCTACTAAATGCTTTCATCCTCAATACTGACCCCATGAATATCCCCGAGCTCCACATAATCCACCCCAGTATTATCCTCTGAACAACGTCCAACCATCTGTCCAACCACTGGGTCACTCCAAAAGGCGAGCACGAGCACCGCAGAATACCCACCAGCCTACAAAATCTTTCAAGTGCCTTATAACCCACATTCAAGCCAAGGGTGTAGAAGGGAACAAAGGCTGAAAGATAATTTACACCAATAGGAGAGTCCTATGCAAGTTTGTTTGAGAAATTAAAGGATTACGACATGATTGCACCTATTCCTCTAAATTATATAGACCCACGTGCGAGAAGCTTTGACCCCGCTAAAAGGTGTGAATACCATTCCAATGCCCAGGGCACAATGTTGAAGATTGTCGTGCTTTAAAAAGGAAAATAGAAAGAATGATTCAAGAAGGAATAATTCTGGTCCAAGGAAGTAATAACCCAAGTGTCACACTTAATCCTCTACAGGTACATGACAATGCACAAATTGTTGGGATGGTTTGCAATGACGAAGGGTTGGTCAAAGGAGTCAATGAGCCACTTGGTGAAGACAATGTGATTGAAATTGGTAATGGTCTTGGTAATATTGATGTGGAACTAATGGGGCTAAGATGCCGAGCTTGGTAATTGGAAAGACGCTCCTTTCTTGGCTAGCCAGGGAGGAGTCTTGGTGGTTTATTTTGTTGTCATTTCTATTGTCCGGGTTATTTTAGGGTTGTAATCCGGATATTGTCTTGTGACTCAAACCTTTATATCCTTTATTTTGCCTAGTTCCTTTTGTCTTAGTAACTCATTTAGTGTTATCTAGTTTGTTCTATGGTTGTAACCCCAATTTAGTTTGCTTGTGTCGTTGTTCAAACCCTTTCACCGTCTGTCTAATGCAATTTTCTAGTTTTTGTTATTTCTAGTCATTTTTTTGTTTAGTTCCCTTCTCCTTTTATAGTTATTTTCATGCTGGCTCTAGTGACATGATATGCACGCACAATTCTAGGCGTGGTCTTAAAAGTTAGTTTAATCATGAAGCAATGAAGCAATTTTGAAGGTGATAGAGACATTTGAGGGAAATAAGTAAAGATTGGATATTTTGAGATCATTTAAAGCCCGAATTGTGTGAAACTGGGGCAGATGGTTTGGGAAGTTAAGAGGATGACTGGTATTTGTTACAAGAGAGTGAGTCCTAACAATGTGAAGCGAGCAACTTTCAGTGCAAGTGCATCTCAAGTAACAAGATAAAGCCAAGGGATTTTGTTCCAAATAGACGAAGGGTATCCATTGTGAAGAAGAAATAACCCAACGAGAGTTCTGTACTTGACAAGACACTAAAAAAAATAGAAGGCATATTAGTGATATCAATGTCGAAGCTGCAAAAGAAATGTTGTGCATGATTTTTCTTTTTTATTTTCAAGTTGCATGTGTTATACTTGGAATTTTCAGGGATTGGGAGGCCCTCTTTCATTTACCCAAACAGTTTATACCATTCGATACCCCTTTTGAGCCTACGCTAATTTTCTTGACCACCCCTCTTTTGGAATCAAGTTAGAATCATAAAAAAAATCATGTCCCCATATTTTTGTTTTATAAAGTTCATTCTAAAAGAAAAGTCAAAAGAAAAAAACAAAAGAGAAAATAGAAAAAAAAAGAAAAAATAAAAAAAAAGAGAAAGAAAAAGAGCAACAAAAAACAAAACAAGAATTCGTTGTGAACTACGTTTGACCTGATTCTTGTCACCACAAGATACGTAGGCAGCCTTACGGTTCGGTCATACAAAATAAAATATTTCATAATCCCACGAAGTCGAGAGTGGGGCAGTCTTTCTTAGAAATTCCATCTCAAAAAGGAAAAGAAAAAAAAGAAGAATCAAATTCCATTGTTTTAGAAATTGGGGTAAAGTTTTAGAATGGATTCCAAAAGTTGTAAATAAATTAACCCCGTTGTCTTAGTTAGTTTGAGCCTTTATGATATACTTTCTTTCTAACCCTGACCAAAAGCCACATTACAGTCCAAAAAAGACCTCCCAGATAATCTTTCAGAGCACCGAGTCAGACATGCCAGGAGCATATGATATTTCTATCATGGTTAATGCCTTGTTATTTATAGAATCAGAAAAAAAAATAAGAGAGTCTTATTGGTGAAAACCTTCACAGGCACCATAAGGCGACGGTAAGTTGAGAGAAAGAACAAAATGAGAGAGGCTTGATGGTGAAAACCCTTCGGGCACTACAAGTCGAATAAGGACCGTGAATCAGATAGGATAATCGAAGCATGGAAGCCCAGTTTCACAACTCAGAGGTACAACGAGAGTTGAACATTAGACTTGCTTGACAGATCAGGTCACTTAATCCAAAGGTGCATGTCATGGTCATTAGAGTTGGTATCCACATCTGATAAGTTTCTACTTTATAGTTTTCTTGTTAGGAATCATCTCTTTCAATTGTCCTTGTCTGTTCCTTTTGTCTTGTTTACTTCCTCTTCCTAAGTCTGTTTGGTCAAAACAAGTGAGAAATGACTTCAAAATTTGCTACCAGCTTTCCAATTGCACAAATCGGAGTCTAGCTAGTACATCAAAGTGGTTTAAGTTAGGAAAGAATAGTATGTGCACTGAGTGGGTGGCAATTGACGTGCTTTGGGATTCATGTGAAACACAAAAGTTCGGTATGTATCGATTCATGAGCACAATGCAACAGATAGAGGGCTTGGGTTTAAACAAATTAGAGGTATTTTTTGTGATAAGGGTAACAGAGAAAGTGGTTAGTCAATAAATAAGCAAGGTCTTTCGAGTTGAAATCAAAGTTATCATGGGAAGTGAAGGAGCAGTCATCCTCAAAGTCAAGGCCACAAACCAACCACAATATTTAAACTCACAAGTTTTATTTGTTTGAAACAGGGATGAAGGCTATGTCCAAATCAAGGCTTGGAAGCTTGAATTTTTCAAGTGTCATGCCCAAATTTTGTCAGCACAAAGGCAGTTTGAGAAGGGGAAAGAAAATTTGTTCGATCTGCAGGAACCCTCCATGAGGAAAGCATGGTTCAGGGGCAAGGAATTTTGTTTGTTCTGCAAGAGATCCTCCAAGAAGAGAGCATGGCTCAGGTAAGTTCATTCTCGATTTCTCAGGACCCTCCTGGATAATGGGATTTAATTTCAAGTTCTCAGGACCCTTCTGGATAATGGGATGTAGTTTTAAGTTGTCAGAACCCTCCTGGATAATGAGATTTAGTTTTAAGTTTCTAGGACCCTCATAGATAATGAGATTTAGCATAAGTTTTACCTTTAGGAAATTTAATTTAGCTTTCAAGTTTTCACGCTTAAGATGAGATTTAATTTTAGTTTTCTGGTCCCTCATGGATAATGAGATTTAGTTTTTAAATTCTTAGAGCACTTTTGGATAACATGATTCAATTAACACTCACAGATGTTCCCGGTACCAAACTAGGGAAGAAATGTTTCTTTTGTTTTGTCTGTTTTGTTGTAATGGAAGGCGCACAC